ACATTCTCCAAGGCTGCAAACAGAGTAGGACCCACAAGTGGCTTGTGCCCTGGCCGCCCAGGGCCGTCACAGCCCTGCCTCCTCCCTATTCCTGGCTCCTGGCCATGTCTCCATCTCTCTCTGCAAGCTCATTTGATGACATCTTCTACTAACTTCTATTGCACACTTGCATGTAATTTAAGCAGGAGGGGGGCCAAGTTAGTTTGGTCCACCAATGTAACCATCATTAATTCTCTGAAGGCCAAAATGAAAGCCAGAAAGAAAGTTCTCTGAGGAGGCAGCGCAGTGTTGCGTTGGCCATTGGGGTTTATTCATGGCTCCCATTTAAACCCTTGGCTGCATTTCCCTTTTGCGCAAAATATGGGGTTTGTACTAACCTTTCCTAAACTCTCCCCTAGCTCACGAGGCTCCCCTTACGGTCACTCCAAACCCCTCCGGACATGACCGAGCAGGCCAGGAGGGGCCAGACCCGGGCGACTGAGAATCTGGCTGGCTTGGATCAGTCAGCACCCCACAGTGTTAGAGGTGGGACAGAGGTCCTCCCTTCTAATCATCCAAGAGGGTTTGTCCCTCTGCGCAGCGGGGGAATTTAACAACGATGCTAATGGATTCTGTGCCCCTGGTCCCCGGGGCTAGGTCTCTGCTCACCCCTCACTCTGGACACTGGAGCCGAGTCCAAGCACCAACAACCCGCCAAAGACAGAGGGAGCAGGAGAGCCCGTTACTATGGGGACGCCACTCCCGCTGCACACGGGTCGTCTCTTTCTCCCAACTGACCGCCCACATGTTCTCCAACTCGGTCAAATTACTTAGGTGTTTGAGAAGCGGCTTGTTTGCCGTCTGGGAAGGAGATAAGGGAAGCCTTATGCACCAGCGCTCCCAGGGTCACAGGGCTTTGACTGGTGGGAAATAAAACAGACAAGCTGCCTGGCCGGGCAGGTGAGGAGGGGACCCTGGGAAGCACACGGAGGACACAAAGCTGCTCTTCTGTCCGGGAAGTATTTACAGCTCAATAAATCAGCCGGAGGCAGGGGTGAGGGGTCACTTGGGCTCAGACGCTCCTGCTGGGCTGGCTGTGGTCTGTGCAGAGGCAGCTGCAGGGGGGTGGGGGGATGGGCTGGCTGAGCAGGGGAGCCACAGGGATGGGGGAGGAGGGTGTGAGGTTGGCAAAGATGGGGGCAGGGAACACGGGAAGCAGGAAGGGCCTAGAAATGCAGAGAAGCGTGTGGGTGTTTCGCACATCTGGAGGAAGGTCCTCCCCGTGGGGTGAACTCGGCCCCAGCCACGTGGGCTGGGATCTGTGAACGCGCCCTTATTTGGAAACAGGGTGATGCCCTCATGTCAAGATGAGGTCACATGGCTGGGCCCTAATTCAGTGGCTCCTGTCCTTATCAGGAGAGGGACACGTGGACACGGAAGACCAGAGAAGGCCTCGCCACAGCAGAGGCAGGCGCAGGAGCCGCGTGCCACGAGCCTAGGCCTCAGGCCGCCAGCGGCTGGGAGAGGGGCCGGCCACCTTCTTCCTCACAGATCCCGGGAAGCAGCCCCGCCCCCGACGCCCTGACTTGGGACATGTGACTCCAGGACTGCGTGACAGTGGGTGTCTGGTCTGCGGCACCAAGCCTGTGGTCCTTGGGGAGGACAGCCCCCCGAGGCTGCTGCGGAGGGACGGCGGGACTCAGGAAGGAAGGAGCTGGCCCCGCCAGCCTACACCCCCGCACCGGGCGACACCCCCAGACTCACAAAGGGTCAGGGGCGCGCACACGTGTACACACACACACACACGACAAGCATACACAAGCGGCCCACCGCAGTGTGGCAGTCAAAGCCGGTGAGCGGAGGAAGAACGACCTTCCTCGTCTCCTTCAGCAGGTGGCTGCCGGACACAGGGACCCCTTCCCGGCTGCAGGGCAGGCTGGCGGGGGCTCTGGGAAGAAGGGGAGGTTTAAAGGAAGGCGTGGGGACAGAAGCCAGCCTCGCCGCCCGCGGAGCTGCGTCCCAGCTGCGTGTTCAGCCCTGGACAGCACGGCGCATGCTCGAGATCTCTCCTCCGTGGGCTGGGGTTCCTCCCAACACCTCTCCGTCCGTCCCGGTCCTGGGCGGTCCCACGGGCGCTGCAAACTGGTGGCGGGGAGAGGGAGGGGGCAGGGGTGTTCCATCAAAGCCTCCCCCGCCAGCCCCCCCGGGGAGGAAGTACCCGGCTCAGAGCCCTTCACATCGCGTCTGCAATGGGGGTGAGGTTTCCAACTTCACCTTTCAGCCTTGGGGCCTGGACGCTTGCAGCAAACTCCAGGAAACAGTCGTGCACGCACGCACACACCACACACACACACACACACACACACACACACACACACCCTAGAAGTTCCAGAAACGTACAGAACGTGTACACTAATCAGTCCACGCGTCCTGTATGACTCGGGAGCCCAAGGCTCCGGGGACAGAGACAACGGAGCCCGAGTCCAGGCCACACTGCGATCTCCACTGATCTGTTTCCTCTGTCCAAGGAGACTGCAGGTCAGCCCTGCGTCCACAGCCGGCACATGGCGCGGGCAGCCCCGACCCCTGCCCTGTGATTTACACCGCCCTCCAGATCACCTACAACTGGAACGTATCCTCGAGTGGGGAGAGCTTGGAATTCCCCTCCTGGGCCCTCAGGAATGATCCACTTCCCACACACATTCCAAAGTACTGATTTTACAAAACCCCAGAGCGCTACATCTGCACTTCAAACACAGCCCTGGAGCACAAGAGCAAATGGGTTCTAGAGGAACGTATGCTTTTGTAAATGTCACGACAGTAACGGTGACAATGACAAAAATATCAGTGACCTCACCGGTAATAAGTAGTGTGTGGCAAGATGTTGCACATCCTGGTGTGGACCTGCTCCGGGTTATTCCCAGGCCGGCTTCAGTCCGAACCCCGACGCCGTTTGGCATATGGGAATTTCAGGCAAACTTTCCAGCTCCTGTGTTCACCTTCTCTCCTACGTAGGCTTGTGGCTGCGCGGGTGTCCTCGGTCAATACCAACCCCCAACTATGTATCCGTGAGGTGCTCCCAGCTGGCAGACGGCGGAGTACATCTGAACCAAAATGCTGTCCACACCTGTGCCCAGTGCCCAGCGCCCGGTGTGCTCGGAAGAGACAAAGCGCTCCTCTCACCCACGGCCCGGCCTGCTGCCCATCTCATCCTGCGCCTAAACGTCACTGGACTGAAGAAATAGCTCCTACGGTCCGTTCAGCTATTAGTACTTTTCTCGTATGATTTAAGCCAAACGTGGCCTAATGGTGTCACTCCCTGGAGTTCAGCAAAAAAGCACACGGAATAACACGTGCGGCACGGCCAGGCCAAGTCCTTCTGTCACCAGAGCAAGAGGAGAAGGCCGTGGGGGCAGAACGAAAGGGCAGAGCGCGTCCCCTTTTGTGCAAGAGCCGCAAGAAAGAAGGAAGGCCGCACTACAGAAGCAGAGCACCGGGCCGCGGTGAACGCGGGGCGATGGCGAGCATCCTGCCCCCGAAGGGCTGCTGAGGTGCGGGCGCCCGGAACGGGGCACAGGCGGACGGCCACACCCACGCCCGGGGGAAGAGCACACGGTACTGCCGGCCACTGTCCCCGCGAGGGCGGCCCGCTGCCGCAGGCCTCAGCACGCGGACAGGAGTGCGCACCGTTTCCTCACCGACACGCAGTTAGCAAACAGCTGGAGGCCATGAACCCCACTAAGCAGGGGGTGCCTACGAGGCGTGGCGCTGTGGGCTTGGGAAACCGCGCTAACACCAAGGAGGGGCCGGGGTCCCACCCAAAGCACAGGGTGGGACGTATCCATGTTTGGAGCTTGTGGCTGGAAGGAAAGAAACATTTCCGTGAACGTTCGGCCTCCGGTCCCTTCCGAGCCTCGGTCAGCAGGTCCTGCGTCCAGGCGGGCCCAAGGGCCTCCCATCTCTCAGCTGTTTGCGGCTCGGCTGTGACAGGCCCTCCGGCCCTGGAGACCCAGCCAGGCGCCCTGGGGTCCTGCACCCGCACCTGGGGGGACGGGCGCTGCAGACACATTCCCCTGGGGGGGCGGGGCTGGGCCTGCTGCAGACACATTTCCCTTGGGGGGGGTGGACCACTGCAGACACATTTCCCCTGGGGGGGGCTGGGCCCGCTGCAGACACATTTCCCTTGGGGGGGGTGGACCACTGCAGACACATTTCCCCTGGCGGGGGGCTGGGCCCGCTGCAGACACATTTCCCTTGGGGGGGGTGGACCACTGCAGACACATTTCCCCTGGTGGGGGGCTGGAGTCTACAGGGGAGCTCATTTTGTCTACTCCTGGGCCAGCCCACCTCTCACCCAACCCCCTCACCTCCCTCCCACCGCCCCTCCCATGTCCCCTCCATCACCCTCCGGCCACCAGAGCAATCTCTGCAGTGGTCAGGCCACACCGGGTCCCAGGCCAGAAACTTGTGCAGTGGAGGACGGCACTCAGAATAAAACAGAACATTCTTCTGCCACCTAAAGAGCTGTGTACGTTCTATGCAGGGCTTCCTGACAGAACTTTTCGTGGTGATGGAATGTTCTAGGTCTGTGCTGTCCATCATGATAGCCACACATGACCACTGAACACTTCACATGTAGCTCAGAGGACTAAGGAACTGGATTCTTAATTTTATTTAATTTTAATTGATTTAAATTTGAAGACCCACACATGGTGGTGGCCTTGATATTGGGCCATGCTGATCTAGTCCCCTGACCCTTCCGACCTCAGCTGCCCGAGCCCTTCTCTCAGCTGCCTCAGGGCCTTTGCACGGGCACTGCCACATCCCAGGACAGCCCCTTCTCTGACTGTCAGCTCTTCAGATCTCAGTGTGACATCCCGTCCTATGCCGAGACGCCCTTCCCTTCCTTTCAGCTGAGCACAGCCCTGGTCTTCCTTTACGCCACTCTGTCGAGGATTCAGGATTCTGACCCCCCAGCAACACTTTAGATCGCCTGCTTCCAAGAGCTCCTCACGCCTTACCTTTCAGAGTCGGAATAGGGCCGTCCTGTCCATCCAGCTCTCCCAGAGGGTCATTCGGGTCGGCGGCCTCCACTTCCCCTGGATGAAAGAGCACAGCACACACATTCGTTAGATTTTACTGCAAGCCCTCTACTTTGCTTCTCGTGCGAAAACAATAGTATTCTAGCAAAATGGATAGAGAACCTAGGCTGACAAGGCATGGGGTAGCTTCCGGAGCGCTCCGATTTGGTGCCGCAGCAAAAGTGATTTTTCACATTGATCCCCAGCGAGGCAGAGCGCATGGATGAAGCAAACGTGGGGCTGAAGCACCGAGCGCTGTTCAGGGAGGGACAGAGATTGAAACGCCGGTGGCAGAAGAAAACACCTGTGTCTCCAGGGTCTGCAGGTCACCCGCCTCTGCGATTCTGAGTGTTTTCGGCAGCGCGTTCCCCTCCCAGTCCCCCCGGGTGTCCTGGTGGCCAGCAGCCAAGGGCAGATCCACCCACAGCCGTGAGGACAGTGGTGTCTTCTCCTGCAGCACGAGCAGCCCGCCCTTTAGGGATGAGGTCACAGCAGGTGCAGCCTCCCCCAAACTCACCCCCACCCAGCGCGAGAGCAGATCTGGTCCGCTTAACCAGGAATGCCACCCAGAGCCATGGGCCCACCAGTCAGGGGTGGGAGAGGGGCGGGTAGAATTGGCCCTGAGAACACATCTGGATGGGTGCGGGTTTGTGACATCAAAGCCCCTACCACGGAGTGCAATACACATGCCGACGCCACTCGCCTTGGAAGGAAATGCTGCCCTACTACACAGGGGCGGACCTGGGGGACATTACGCTGTCCCTCTGCTGAGGGAAAGAGCCCGGCACAGAAAGACAAATAGCATATGGCCGATGAGGTCCCGACTCCTCTAATTTATGAGCAGAAAGCAGACGGTGGGCCCCAGGGCTGGGGGAGGGGGGCCCAGGACTTAGCGGTTAATGGGGACAGTTTCATCTGGGGAAGATGAAAAGTGCATAGTGACGGCAGGTGTACACTGAACCTGCCTCTGAACCCCACACTTAAAAATGGCTAAGACGGCAAACGTTTAGGTTATGTGCATTTACTGCATTTTTGTAAGTCCACAGAAGACAGTTTATAACTCAGTTATAACTCGGTTATAAACCGGGTCACCCCACGTGTCTCTCTTACACAGGAAACAGGAACCAGCAAAGCATCCAGACACCAGAGGCCGCTCTCACGGTGGGAAGCCTTGCTGAGGAAGCTGAAAGTACGGTACAAGCGGGTTTCACACAGAGCCAGGCGCACAGGAGTCTTCAAATTGTTTCGCTAAATAAACACTGGCCAGTTGATCCTTAAGGGCAGCAGTGTCTCTGAGCCAAATCTGTCCACACTGCCAGGTCCTAAGTCACCGGACGCGCCAGGTAACACATGAGCCTTGGGTGCCCTTGGAATCCAGCCTTAGCTCCCAGACGGCCCGCAGGAGGATGTTTCTGCCTGGACGCGGCTTCTCACACCCAGTAAAGGAAGGTCCCCTCTTTCTGTCACTTCTAGTCCAAACTCAACCACACAACAGAAGCCACACTCCATGTCAGTTTCGTAAAGTGTCCCCGATGGATCACACATCCTTATTCTCCGATCACGCATCCTTATTCTCCAAGACGACGCCCCGCACCGTATGTCTCTCCTGCAGCCAGCACATCGTCCCCTCAGCTATTAGCTGCATATTGTCCAATGATCCCCAGGGGACTGGAAACAGCTGTAGGCCATCCGAGCATTAAGCCCTAGATAGAATCCGGGGCTACCACAGCCAGAGACAGGCAGAAACCACGCAAGGCGGGCCACGGCTTTGCTCAAGAATTAAACTTGAGTTGGCCTTGAAATTTTGAATTGGCATGTTACACATGCCATCACTCAGCACTGTGTAAATGCAGAGAGACCACAGGAAATCAAACACACTCGTACTGTATACACACATCTGAAAGAGGCATAAAAATTATTAACTGCTCAGAAATTGACAAATGGTGTGAAACAGTCAAATAAATATACACCCTGAAGAAAAATAAGCACTGTTCGCCCACCTCCACCGTGGGACAGATTTCCACTCTTGCAAGACAGGTCTCTGCTCTGAAGTGCCAGGTTTCCCTGAGCATCGGAGTCACGGGGGCCCCCGCGCAAGGGAGCGGGGGGCCACCTGATGCTTCTGCTCACTCGCGGGCAGACCTCACCCACCACCCACCCACCCAGACCCACCAAGTCGCTGTTCACCTTCGGAATGCTAAGATTCTCTTTGAATAGGTGGTGCTGCTCAGCACGTAGGCTGGGATTTAATTTTTCGTTTCTTTCAGCCCCAGCTTTGCCTTAAAAAATAATGTAGTAAAATTGAGTTTGGGCACTTGCGCACAAGAGTGTCATCCACGTGTTTGGAAACATGGGTCAAATTTCAAGTAGCCCCCAGGCTGATAGCAAGAGTCACATATGTGAATAAACGCAGAATGGCCCACTGCCATGGTCCTTAGAGCGGACACCCTAAGTTTCCATATAACGGGACCCCACTGTTGCTTCCTGAGACAGGAGGACCCCACCGACAGCCTGATATTAGGAAGTATCATTTCCTACATGAAGTCAGACACAGAATAGCTGTCCTTACTCAAGATTCTGGACCCCCTAAAATTGAAAAGCCAAAGGTAACAGGTGCAAATATGAACTTGGGGATGGAAACAAGTAGGTCCAACGTTTCAGCAGATGCCAACAGAGTCTCTCCTGGCCCCCCAAAAGGGCTGGAAACACCCCAAAGAAAAAACATAAAACACAAGCCCAAACCAACAAAACAACCACAAAAACTATCACACACACACACACATATCAACATGTGTTCACATCCATAATTATGAAGATAATTTAAAATTTCTTCTTTTATTTTTAAACACCTCTACAATGAAAATAGCATTGAATTATTAATCGATGTAATTCACATACCACAGAATTTGCCATTTTAAAGTCTACAGTCCGGGGCGCCCGGGTGGCCCAGTTGGTTAAGTGTCAGGCTCTTGATTTCTGCTCGGGTCATGATCTCACGCTTTGGGAGTTCCATCCCCACATTGGGCTCTGCGCTGTCAGCACCAAGATTTTGTCTCCCTCCCTCTCTGCCCCTCCCCTGCGCATGCTCGCTCTCTCTCAAAAATAAACTTTTTAAAAAAAAATCTAAAAAGTAAATAAAAAATAAAGTCTACAGCCTAGCAGGTCTGGAGTTATGCACAAGGTTGTGCAACTGTCTCCATTATGTACTTCCAGAATATTCTATCACACCCAAAAGAAATCTTGTTCCCATTGGCGGCCCTCCCCTTTCCCACCTCCCCCAGTCCCTGCGACCACCAGTCTGGCTCTAGGGATTTATGTTTTGGACACGTTATTGAAATGAAATCATACAGTATGTGGCCTTTTGAACAAACACCAGTTGTAAGATTCATTTTGTTTTAATTTTATGGGCAGTAGTAACAAGAAAAAAAAAAATAAGGAGGAAGAGGCTGGATGAAGCCGGAGCAAGTGATCAGCAGAGGAGACCGTTAACTCCTCCCTTCCTGCAGCCTGAGCCCGGGGCCCCCTGAGCAGACCCGGACGTGGGTGTGCAGGCAAGGCCCGCGGTGAGGACGGGACGGGAGGCCGGAGCCACGGGGATTACTGATGCCAACATGGGTCTGAAAGGCACTCGCCAGGAGCCCCCGCACGTCCACACGCTGCCGCGGGAAAGGGGGGCTCTCGGAGCCAGGACACGGTGGCCAGGTGGGGTTCAGCACCGGCAGCACTGGAGCTGGCGTCACCTGCTTGCGCCCCGACGAGGGTGTTCTCCTGCAGGTCACTGCTGCTGCAGACCGACCTCCACCCACCCTCCCAGCCCTGCTGGCCGGCGCAGTCCCCGGCGGTGTGAGCCCCGGGACATGTCCCTGATGGCCTGCCCGATGCCTCCGCTGGCCCAGCGACCGACAGACAGGGGACCTGAGCAGGGGACAGCCTTGGGGAGGAACCCCGATGCCTTGGAACTTAATCCTCTTCTTCTGAGATGGAGGAAATGACGTGTCTTTCATTTTGGTAGGAGAGTAGGAGGCATGTGTCCACATGTGTCCATTAGGGGCGTGGAATTTCTGATGCTCTAACTCACCTGCACCACACCTGGGGGCTTTTCACTGTGAAAACCCACAGGGGGAGATGACGTAAGGTCACCAAACACTCAAACCATTGGTGGCATCCATCAAGCAGTTGGGATTTATTAGTTCCTTAATTGTTTGTTTGATGTTTAAGGAAAAGAAAACATTTAATTTGAAAACAGTTTAAATGTGGCTGCTTTAGTGCAAGGACACATTAAAGGTATAAATTTGATCCACATCAAAATCACACTTCAATGCCTAGAAGCAAAGACTGAATACAACGTGCTAACCCACGTGAGGTTCTGGAAAAGAAAAAGTACATCAGGTCAAGTCTAAGGAAATAGGGAACAGTATGGATGCTGATTAAGAATAACGAGTCGCTGGGGCACCTGGGTGGCTCAGTCGGTTGAGTGTCTGACTTTCGATTTAAGCTTAGGTCGTGATCTCGAGCCTCATGTAGGGCTCTGTGCTGACAGCGTGCAGCCTGCTTAGGATTCTTTCCCTCTCTCTTTCCCTCCCCCCACCGCACACCCTCTCTTTTAAAATAAATAAGTTAACATTTTTAAAAATATTTTTATTTATTTCTAGGAGAGAGAGAGTGAGACAGCGTGAGCAGGAGAGGGTCAGAGAGAGAAGGGGTCACAGACTCTGCAACAGGCTCCAGGCTCTGAGCTGGCAGTCAGCACAGAGCCCGACGCTGGGCTCGAACCCACGAACTGCGAGATCATGACCTAAGCAAAAGTCGGACGCTTAACCGACTAAGCCACCCAGGCGCCCCAGTAAACATTTTTTTAAAAGAATAATTCAATCGAGGCACATTTGCTGTGACAAATGTACCACAGTGATGTAAGATTTAACATTAGGGGAAACAACGGGCGCCTGGGTGGCTCAGTCGGTTAAGCACCCGACTTCGGCTCAGGTCACGATCTCGTGGTTCTCAGGTTTGAGCTCTGTGTCCGGCTCTGTGCTGACAGCT